TCGTCGCGGGCGTATGCCGAAATCCTTCGAATACCTTAGGTTTCGGAACGATTTCGAAATCGGGCGTCCAAAAAACCTACAAAAACACATTTCGCAACACGGGTATTCAACAAAAGTGTGCGCGCAGGCTCTTGCGTCGTCGTCGTCGTCGTCGTCGTCCTCCCTCCTCCCTCGTCGTCGTCGTCGTCGCCGTCGTCGTCTTCTGTCTTTCCTCGTCGTCGTCGTCGTCTTGGCGTCCTTCGTCGCTTCCGTCGTCATTGTCGCCGTGGTCGTCCTTCTTCCCTCGTTGTCTTCGTCGGCGTCTCGTCGTTGTCCCTCCTATTTCGTCGCCGTCGTCGTCGTCGTCGTTGTCGTGGTCTTCACTCCTCCCTCGTCGTTATCCTCCTCCCTCGTCGTCGTCGTCCGTCGTCGGCGTCTCGTCGTCGTCCCTCCTATTTCGTCGCCGTCGTCGTCGTCTTCGTCGTCGTTGTCGTCGTCGTCGTCTTCCCTCCTCCCTCGTCATTGTCGTCGTCGGCGTCGCCGTCCTTCCTCCTTCTTCGTCGTTGGCGTCGTCGCCTTCTCTCCCCCATCGTCGTTGTCGTCGTTGTCGCCGTCGTCGTTTGTTTTCCTCCCTCGTCGTCGTCTCCGTTGGCGACGTCGTCGTCGTCTTCGTCGTCGTCGTCGGCGTCGTTGTCGTCGTCGTCGGTGTCGTCGTCGTCGTTGTCGTCGTCGAAAACATTGGAGACGTCGTCGGTGTCGTCGCAGTCGCTGTCGGCGGCGCCGTCGTCGTCGATATCGCAGTCGTCGTCGGCGTCGGCGTCGTGGCCAAATGCCATGTAGTACCTACCGTCACGGTCTTGTCTGAAGATGTCTTGCGACCAAGTTGCGGGTGGGAGGGTGGGATGTTTGCACGAGCAGTGGAGAGGACAGCTTCAAGACGGTCAAGATTAATTGCACCACATAGCTTGCACCCCGACATTGCACACATATGTTGCACCACATCGTTTGTACCACGTAGCTTGCACCAAAGAGCCTGCGCAAGAGATGTTGCACCCAAAACATAGAACCACCGTAGATTGCACAACATCCGTTGCATCACAAACTTTGTGGTGACCGAAACTCGCACGATACACCGACTGCACAACAGGCATTGCCAATCGAGAACGCAAAACTCCACTGACCCTTTGGTGCCCGCGCTGGCAAACATATTCGCATTTTGGCTCACGATGATGTTCAGCAACAGATGGCCTCAGGAAGGCTTCCGAAGGACCCAAGCCACAGGCAGCTCAAGACCCCAAGACGGCTTCAAGTCCTGACCCAACGGTCCGAGACGGGCTCCACCGAGCCGCAGTGGAGAACTCCACAGAACCATCGCGCCCAAGACGGTCCCAAGAATGAGAGAGAGCATCAACGGGCCCCAGAGTAACAACGAGACGCAAAACAAAGGGGCAGAATACTCAGCCCCCCCGCCAGTACATGCAGGGCGCAGAATTATAGCTGTTCTTGAACTCCTCTAACTCCTACATGCTGCACTGCTGCGCTGGGTGGGCGACGGGAGATGCCGCAGGCAGATGGATAAAATTCTCTATTAGAAGAACTCGTGGAGCGACTGAGAGCACCATGACTGTCAATGTCAGCGGCTCGTTAATGTCGCAATTGGTATCCGATTCGCACTTCCAGTGTCCGCCAGTTGCAGAGGAGCGGTTATATTTCTGACCCAAGAACTCTCCAGGCAACACTTTCCGAGACATTTTCGCAGGCGGCCAACCGCCAATGTAAAAACGGCCCGTCTCAGCTTTGTACTTGTCGGCGTACTCTTTCAAAGCCAAGTACTGCTTCTCTCCAGCCAGAGCCTGCTTTGTCGTGCGCTTGTGGTCAACACCAAGAGCCCACAACCGCTGGCTCGGGTCAACTGTCACGCGCTCCTTGACCTCCCCATCCTTCGTGTCACTGAAGATAAATGAATGCCCCCTGTAAGATGTTGTGGTCATGGCTTTGCCTGGCTGGACTTGACCCAAGTAGATACCACCTGGCTGTCCGTTATCCCACGCGTGGTGAAGGGGGGTATCGTAAAGATTGAATACCCTGATATACTGGGGGGGCTCCGGTATCGTCGCCGTTTTGCGCAGATAGCAGGTGTAATTCGGCAACGGGTTCAATTCCTCGTCGGCCCAGCAAGGGGACATCCTTGTAAGCGCTTTGAGTTCTGGCGTTGACGCCCTGTCGTGCACCACCGCAAAAGCATTCTGGCAGATCGGGATCAACATCCACAGCAACATCATTCTTCGGAATGGTCAACTACCTGGGTAAACCGGAGGGCCCCCTTCGAAGTTCCGAAACCATACCAGGATCCAGAATCCTACGTGCCTGCTTAAGCCCTGATCACTTGGGCCCAAAACGCTACAACAATCGGTCGCAATGATTCTGGCAGGAGGCAACGGTAACTGTTTACAGTATTGGTGACCTTCAGGCTCGACCTACATCCCCCAGGGAGCGCCTTTGCTGCTGCTGAGGTGGCTGCCGCATGGTGAAGGCAGAACGCGGACCCACGCAGATTGAGAATCTCTGCTTCTCCAATCAGCACGAATGCTCAAACCGAATGTACGTGACGGTGCCCAAGAAAGCCGCCCCAGAGCACAAGGGGGGGGTGAATGCATGGCAGCGTAACTGGACACAGACGTGAATGGTAATGTGAACAAGCGCTTGAGGACAGCAATGACGAGACATGTAATTGCAACGATAATGAGAAGGGAATGTGGTAGGACCAACACGGAAGTTCGATGGTGGCGCCCTCAAGTTGACAAAGGCATGTACGGATGAAGTCAGGGGCTGCCTGACCTCGCTCTTGATGATTAACCCTGTGCGGGCAATAGTAACCCCCCTGGGGTAATAAAGTTCGCGGTTCCCGCGGGGATGAGAAGGATTTCCCGGGGAAGGTCAGTTATGATGATGATGATGATGATGATGATGATGATGATGATGATGATGATGATGGTGACGACGATTATGGAGGAGGAAGAGGAGGAGGTTAAACCAGGCGCACGACAGAAGCCTGACTCGTGCGATCTCGAGGCTCGTGGCTACTTGCCCGCAGAGGCGCACGACACAAGGCTGATTCGAGCGATCTCGAGGCTCGTGGCTACTTGCCCGCAGAGGCGCAGGACACAAAGCTGACTCGAGCGATCTCAAGGCTCGTGGCTAAGCAGGCGCCTAGATTTTGCCAGCAAGAGAGGCCCTGTCTCGGGAACGGCTAAGAAAATGAGAACCCCATGGCAGTGCCGCACGGTCGTACCGTGGGCAAACTGAACTGGTGAGAATCCCACAGCCCTGCCACACGCCCGTGATTGCGGAAGCTGGTGTGGTGAGACCACCATGGCCATGCTCAGCGTTTTTGATGCTGCTGCTAATCAACGTGATATGATAGCAGCTTCGATCCCCGCAGCTTTTCCGTGGATTATCAAATTCGGCCCCTGCGCCTTCCCCACAGATAAATCCGTATGGTCGGGGATAAAGAAATAGAGGGGGTGAAGGAGGGGGTACTTTATTATCGCCCGTGGTCGGTTAGCTTGCTAAGCTTGCCCACCTCCGTAAGTCTAGCAGGCCACATAAGAGTTCACTCGCACCGCAATCCGCGAATTCATCAGCCCGGTCGTTCAGAAACAGTCCCGTGTGAGACTCCACCTTCCGCCACACTAGGCATTGACCAAGCTCATCAACCAAGCGCCGAACATTCAGGGTTAGCCTGATATTTCGGCGTGCTCTTGAATGTCTGCGTGCTACGTTGGCCGCGCACTCGGAGTCACACTCGATGCAATATGATGAAGAGGCATAAGAGGAAAAAGAGGAAAACGACGCTGTACGGATATGATCACGTATGAAAGACAAAGCGTAGAACATGGCGCTCAGCTCACCGACGTTGTTCGAATGCTGGCACGCACCAGTTTAACAAGGATCAGCTTCAGCGAAGACTGTGGGCCCGCAGAGGTCCAGCAGCGGAGCCGTTCCGGGCAAGGATACAGTGAAACCCCAGCCTGAAACCTCCTCCTCGTCCACGCTCTTGGAGGAGCCGTCGCACGACACGACAATCCCATCAGGGCGCTGGAAAGCAGAAGGGGCTGGTTGAACAGGACGAGAAAGCTCTCAGTGAGCACGTCGAAGTGGTTGAGGACCGAATCCCAGCTTGATCCTCTTCAGCGGGGGGGGGAGGAGCTGACCGGTGGATCTCCTGCAGGGGCCGCGACCGCGGCCGTGCCAGATCAAGGACCACCGGCTTCCCGCGTCGACTGTCGACCAGGGCCTGCGTGACGATGGCGTTCACGCGAAGCAGATACGAAGAGATTTACAAAGGCATTGTGCAAGCAAAGAGACGGCTGTGATACTGTGGTGCCAACTCGATGATGCAACAATGGTTGCATCAGAACGACCACATCAGCTCACAGGCATCGTTTGGAACTGCCACAAGTTAGAGGTACTGAGACGGGCAGTGATCATGCGATCAGTCGCACTGAAGCCACACTTGTACGAAATGTTGCGAATGCATAGAGAAGCTGTGGCGAGCACTGCTGGCGACCAGGCTACCGAGGGCCGCACGGCTCGTTTGAGACCGCTGCGATGGCAGCGGCGTGAGCATGTCTATTGCAGGCAACTTCGCCGTGACGAGAACAGCAGTCACATACGATGATGAGTTTTGCTATACTAAATAGTTGGGCCAATAACTCGTCGATATTCGAAGGTCCTAACGTGCCGAAGAACTTCTGAGACTGAAACCACTGGGGGATACAACATTTCCGTGGGGCAACACCTGCTTGCAGGCGGACTTCTTGCTTGACATGCCCACCGTACTTGTTTCTCGACGGACGCCGGCCCGGCGAGGGAGGAGGACGGCAGACGCATGACAGGCATTGCACACGGGAGTACTCCTCCCCCTCCTCCTCCTCCTCCTCCTCCTCCTCCTCCTCCTCCTCCTCCCCCTCCTCATCCTCCTCCTCCTCCTCCTCCTCGGGCGGGGAGAAAACGGACGCCTTGTCGAGGAGCTTCTCCAGCATCTCAATGATACCATGAGACTGGTACTCATAGCCCGCAGCCTCGTACGAGGACGAGGAGGAGAAAAAGGAAGCGGAAGCGTTACAATGGAAAGCCATCAGAAAGAAAGCGAAGAAGTATATCCAGATGATGAAGATCTGGCGACCCCTTGGGGTGCACTCAGCGTGAGAAGTTCATGCCCCTAGGCCTCCGACGGTCTGGCTTTTTCGGCCAGTGGGCCCTAGAATCCTCGGCCCCGCTCCCGGTGGCAAGTTTTTCGGCCAAGGGGTGGCGCCTCCCCAAAAAGCAAGGAGGAGGGGGGGCGGGAAAGAGGGGGAGGAGGAGGGGGAGGAGGAAGGGGAGGAAGAGGAGGAGGAGGAGGAGGAGGAGGAGCAGGAGGAGGATGAGGAGGAGGAGGAGGAGGAGGGGGAGGAGTAGGAGGGGGAGGAGAGGTGAAGGGGGAAGGGGAAGGAGGGAGGCGGGAGGGAGGAGGGCGGAAGGGGGGACGAGGGAGGGAGGATGGCCCCAGGGCCCGAAAACTGGGCCCCAGGGCAGCAGAGTTCGTGGAGGCAGCCGCCAGGACTGGAGAGAACCGTCTGCCGGCCTCCCGGAGCAGCCGGGAGCCCAGACCCCCGACGTCGCGATGTTTGCATGACGTCGACCCCCGGAGGTCTCGACCCCTTCCCTGGGGCCGGACTCTCATCCCGAGTCGTTTTTCGACGGTCCCGAGGCCCAGTGAGGGTCCCCGAGGCCGCGGATCTGAAAGAAGCTGCGGTCGTGATCTCTGCACAGCGCGAGGGGGGGTCTGGGGAGACAGAGGCAGGCAGAGGTGAGCCAGCGCCTCGGGGGCGGACACGGCCAGGCCCTCCGAGGGCTCCTGCCCGCTCTGCATCAGGAAGAGGTCGATGGCCCTCTTGGCGGCCGGAGGCACCAGGGAGAGGCTCTTAAGGCCGGCGACCTGGGGAGGAGTGCAGCAGGGAGGAGGCGCGCGGGGGCAGGGGAAGGGAGGGAAGAGGGGGCCGGAATGAGGAAGGGGGGAGGGGGGCAGGGCGGGGGAGGCGGGAGGGGAGGGGTGGACGGGAAGGCGAAGGAGGAGGAAGAGGAGGACGAGGACGAGGACGAGGACGAGGACGAGGACGAGTACGAGGACGAGGACGAGGACGACGATGACGAGGTGGAGAACGGGGAGGAGAGTAGGGGTAGAGGCGGGGGGAGGTGAACGGCGAGGATAATGAGCAGGAGGAGGGTAGAGGGTAATGAGCAGGATAATGAGCAGGAGGAGGGTAAAGGGGCGGGGGGAGGACGAGGAAGAGGCGGGGGAGGCGGAGGAGGACGAAAGACGCCACGGCTCACGCCAGCCAACGCGTTGTCCAACGCAAAAAAAGAAGGGGGATCGAAGACTGGGGAGGTGAGATCGGAGAATGGAGAGAGGGTGGAGGAGGGAGGAGGAGGACGAGGAAGCCGGTTGGAGGAGGAAGCCGTTTGGAGGAGGAGTTTCGGAGGGAGACAGGAGCAGGGAGCAAGTGGAGGAGGAGGCCGTTTGCAGAAGCCCGCCCAACGTGTTCAGTGCGCAGGAGACAAAGCGGTGTTTCGGGACCCGCAGCGCATGGAGGGGAGGGGCACGGTCGGGGACGAGCCAAAGAGTGTCCCAGAACGCCCCGAACACTCCAGTAGACCTCCCTGCCCCTCACCCGTCCTCCCCATGGTCCTCTTGCTCCTTGTCCTCCGCCCCAGGCGTTCGATGCCTTGATTCTCGGGGTCCCCAAACCTATCGACCCACACCTAGGGACGGTCTCATCCAGAATAGTCGTTGCTGATGGTTCCGGGGCCCAGAAACGGCAGCCCGAGGCTAGACCCTACAAACGCAAATCCGTTCTGTGTTGTCGAAATGTTGGAGGTCTGAGCTACCCTCCGTCGCATCACTCCCCCTCCTCCCTGTTCCACTTATCCTCCTCCTCCAGCCCCCGCTTCCAGAGCCTGCAGGAGGGGTCGGCAATCCGAGGAGGCAGGGTGCCAACTGCAAGAAGGGGGGCGGCTTTTCTCGTCCTGATCCCATCTAAACCTCACCCCAACCATCCTCTGCTCATCCCCCCTCGTTCCCCCCTATCCCTGCTCCCCGCTCATCGCTCCTCCTTCTTCCCCATCCTTCCCCGTGCTCATCCTCCTGCTCCCTGCCCGTCCCTTCCCTCCTCCTCCTCCTCCTCCTCCTCCTCCTCCTCCTAACTGGCCCTGCTCCTCCTCTCTCCTCCTCCACCTGCTCCTCTTTGATCGTCCTCCTCATGAGGCTGTTTTTTCGATCGGCGAGAACCCGAATTATCCTGGGGGGGAGGGGCCGGCCGATAACCTAACCTTCGCGCTGCGGGCAGCCCTGCATATGCCCGCGCGCACCGATGCTGCGGCCGCTACAGCTGCTCACGATGCTCAACCTCCTTCAAATCAGTGGGCTAACAGAGCTTGCACCAGTGTTACACATGCTGTGACCTCTTGGCTGTACCAGTGCAGCGAGGGCACGGATGGCGCGGGGCTGGGCCTTAGCCGTGCCTACGACAACATCCACCACGACATCGCCCTGGAGGCCCTGGAGTCTTCGGCGATGCCAGACGTCATGATCTGTACGTGTGCTGCGGCGTGGGCGGGACCACGCCACTGCTCTATTGCTGGTGAACTGGCTCCTCCTATTCACCCCTGGCGGCGATTGCCACAAGGAGACAGTACTGTGCCAGCATCAATGATTGCAACCTTAGCTCCTTGGCAGCCCCGCGGGGGCAGCAGTTGTTATATGGACGACAGGTCCCTGGTGGCGGATAGTGATCGGAGCCTCCAGAGCGACTTGAAGCTCACCACCGACTTCGACGACAGCGTTGGCTTCGCGGAGAACAAGAGTAAGCGCCAGGTTTGGTCTCACGATGCGGCTGATCAGAAACCTGTGGAACATCTTGGCGTGCTGGCAGTACCTACCGATCCTTCGATTGCAATTGTACCTCGCCAACGCTGGGATAAAGTTATCTGTGCTATTTCGATCTTGGCTACTATCCCTGGCTCGGCCTTGGTGCGGACCAGGTTAGCGTACGCCTACATCAAGCCCCTGTGGATCTGGGCGAGTCCTGTGGTGGTCCCACCGTCCTTGGAGCTGGCCGCGAAGCTGGCCAGAGCAATCTGGCGTACCCAAAGTGATTGGTGGTGCCTTGGCCGTTACTGGTCCCAGAACATCTTGCTACACCCCACGTGCAGCTCGGCTATCAAGGCCTGTGAAACGATCGCGGACGAGAGAATCGTGTGGTCCCCGTTCTTGGACACTTCTATGTCTGCTCATGCTGAAGCACTTGGTCTGCGTTTCATGCGTTATTCGGGAGAAAGAGTTGTTCAGTGGAGGTGGCCCCGATGCCAGAACACCGAGTTCGCTTGGCAGTTGAACATCTTGTGGATGCTTACTGGAGGTTTTGGGCGAGTGGCTCCTCGGCTTATCAAAACGTGGTCAACATGCCCTCAGGTTGTTGGCTCGAATCACATGTATACAGATGGTGAACCATCGTCGTCAGGACTCCGAGGAGATAGACGACGTGGACATCGATGTCTGTTCTTCAAAGGTGTTTGCGAAATGGTTTCGCACACTCTCTCCTACGTCAAGTTTGGGACTGTCTATCTTCAGGTCAGGTGCTATGACTTTGGAGACGCGACGGCAGTCTGGTCATTCCTGCCGCTTTTGTGGCGAACATTACCCGAGTGTCAAGCACTTGGTTGCAGAATGCTCTGGCCACGATTCTATTCGCACAAATCGCACCTTCAAGTACGCGCTGCCCGATGGTTTCTGGACGTCTTTGCCGAGATGTTCTTCGAAGTCGGGGTGGATCAATTTTGCTGCTGACGACTGCAGTGTTACACGTGATCGCATGATGGTTGCTCTCTGTTCCATGGGGGTACACATAGCTACACAGAGCCTTGAAGACCGATTGGTGGACGCTGGGCCCATTCGTCATAGACGTACGGGCCGCCGGTCTTCCAGAAGCTGATTTTCTACCTGCGCATCTACCTCTTAGTCAAGGTATGTTGCAGTTCATCATCCCCCCCTGCTCACGATGCTGTGAAGATGCTGCTATTGGTGCTGCGACGATGCGGGCGCCGTCTGAGAATGCCTAGGGATATGTCTTGACAGCTAGCATGTGGATACGCGGAATGGGAATGCTGAGAGAAGCCGCGGAATTCTGTGTACACTGTAGTAGATCCGCACCACAATGGCTGTGAACACTACCAAAAAATGCGAGCGCCACAACGCTCTTGTACACCACAGGTGCTGCAACTTCTGCTTGCACCAAAACGCCAGTGTACACCCCGATGCTTGTGCACACCACAAAGAGTCGCATGCACCACAGCGCATGGCGAACATTTGCGCCACAGCGCGTCCGTTCGACTCCAAGGTCCCGGCGCATCCCTAATCTGAAAAATCGCTGGGGGGCCGAGCGTGCCAAATTCAATATGTAATTGGTGTACGGCTCTTTGATTTTTCTGGCCCAGGGTACGCTTCCTTGGGGCCGACCATGTCTGTGTTCACTACAGTGCCTGTCCAGTGTACACCACACCACGGCACCTTTGTACACCCCAGTTGCTGTGTAAACCGCAGCGCCTGTTTATTTTACACAACAGCACCTGTGTACATCATAATGCCTTTGTACACTACAGCAGCTGCGTGCACCAAAGCGCCTGTGTACACGCCGATGCTTGTGCACACCATACAAGCCGCGTGCACCACAACGCATGGCGAACATTTGCGCCACAGCGCTTCCGTGCACCTGCAAGGTCCCGACGGAGCCAAAATCTGAAAAATCGCTGGGGGCCCGACGTGTCAAATTCAATACGTGTTTTTTTGGTTCTTGGTTTTTCTGGCCCGGGGTACGCTTCCCCGTTTGGGGCCGACCATGTCTGTGTTCACCACTGTACCTGTCTAGTGTGCACCACACCACGGCGCCTTTGTACACCACAGCTGCAATACCTGTCTACAAAAATGTTAGTGCGTACACCACAATGTCTGTTTACACTAGAGCTGCCGTGTGCACAACAGCGCCTGTGTACACCACAGTGCCTGAGTACACTGCGACGCTTATGTGCACCACGGTTGCTGCTTTAGCATCAGATGTGCGGACCACAGCTTCGGTGCACCAAAAAGGTTAGACACAACACAGAACTGCGTACACTTCCAAGGCCCCAGCGAGCTGAAATCCAGAAAATCGTGGGGGGTGCGAACGTATCAATCCAATATGTATTTTGTTTGTCAACAAAGGGAACGGTCCCGTCTACTGGACCCAAAACGCCTGTGTGCATACAGCAAAGCATCACAGCGAGTTTGTGCACAACAACGGATGCGTCCACCGCAACGCCTGTGTACACCAGTACACCGCCATGGCCGTGCACCACAGTGCTCCTGCACACCACCATGCCTGGAATGCCTGCGCAACGCTTATGTTGCAGCAACAGCTGCGTACACCAGAAAGCCTGTCTACACAATGGTGCCTAGACGCGTTAGGATGCCTGCGTGCATCGCGCGGCCTGCATGCACTTATGCTTGCATGCACCACAACGCCTGCGTACACAACGGACCCTGCAGCAGCAGCGACAAACGCGTGCACCAAATCGTTTCGCTGCCTGTGCACAACGCAATGCCTCTGTACGCGCTGCTCACGTGCACCTCTGGAACCAATGGACGACGTCGGTCGTCGCGGTCGTCGTCGTCGTCGTCGTCACCGCCGTCGTCGTCGTCGTTGTCGTCGGCGTCGTTGTCGTCTTCGTCGTCGTCTTCGTCGTCATATTCGTGGTCGTCGTCATCTCCGCCTGCCACTCCCAAAGCACCAGCATGCTGTTGCGCACACCACTGCGCCGTTGAACGCAGCGCTCCCTGCGAGCTCGCTGCGCCCCTCCCCCCCTGGACATGAACAACAGACAAGATTAGGTGATCCTCGGGGGGGG